AGGGTTAATATGTTGTGGGGTTGTTAACCAATGTCATAAAACAACATGTGTACTACTGTTTCATGAGAAACTATTTGTTCTGTAAGCCTTCACCTGAAATGCAATAAAATTTAAAAAAAAAAAAATCATAGTAGCCAAAGAAAATAATTCTCTTACTCCACCGCCACGACGACAGCATCGAGCCTGTTTGCCGTCCATCTGTTCAGGAAATCATAAGCCGTCTGCTCTGAAACGGAAAAAAATCAATTTAAAGGTGCTCCCTGTAACTAAAAAGCCACAGAAATGACACAGCTATAAACTTGCAAAGAAATGTTGTTTGTGAGTCTTACATAAACCACAAAAACCAAACCTGTTGCCATCCAGTTGATTCCGACTCATAGCAACCCTGAAGGACAGAGTAGAACGGCCCCATAGGGTTTCCAAGGCTGTAATCTTTATGGAAACAGACTGCTACATCTTTCTCCCGTGGAGCAGCCGGTGGGTTCGAACTGTTGACCTTGTCGGTGAAGGGGACATCAATCTAATAATCAGGAATCCTCCTAAGTGTTTTTAAAACAAAGTAATATTTTCCTATCTGTGAGGATTTCTCTTATGCTTACTGAAGTGCCAAGTAATGAGTATATGAATACTTGAACATTTCATAGACCTTATGAAGTCCTAAGGAGCCCTGGTGGCGCAATGGTTAAGTGCTCAGCTGCTAACCAAAAGGTCGGCGGTTGGAACCCACCATCAACTCTGCACGAGAAAGATGTGGCGGTCAGCTTCTGTAAAGAGACAGCCTTGGAAACCTTCTGGGGCAATTCCTCGCTGTCCTGTAGGGCTATTGATGGGTCGGAATGGACTTGATGGCAACGGGTTTGGGGTTTTGTGTTTTTTTTTTTTGTTTTTTTAATGTTTTGGCAATCTGCTTCTGTAAAGATTCCAAACCAAGAAACCAAAACTCTATTAAAAAAACAAAAAAACAAAAACTATAGCACAGAGTAGAACTGCCTTATAGGGTTTCCAAGGAGTGGCTGGTGGATTCGAACTATTTACAGCCTAGAAAACCCTATGGGGCAGTTCTCCTTTGTCATATGGGGTCACAATGAGCTGAAAGCGACCTGACAGCACCCAACAAAGACAACAACAGCATAAAAACTTTAATGGAATCAGTACGCATCTTTGGAGAGAAGTGAGTATTTAATTTATCTTACACAGGAAGCAGGGTATTCTGATCATTCTTATACCTTATATAAATTAAATTATGGATGCAATCTAATTTATTGAGTATATAAAAGGGGTGAAAAATACTTAAAAGTACCAGGAGAACATTTTGGATAATAGTCCTTTTGAAGATCAGTACCAAAAGTCCCTGTTAGTTATTCAGTATTCTGTTTTTGTTTTGCTTTGTTTTGTTTTTCAAAAGACACTTAATGAGCAGTCCCTGTATAGAAAGCGCTTTGCTAGATACCAAACCAAGACTGAGAAACCAAACCCGCTGCAGTCCAGTTGATTCTGACTCACGGAGACAGAATAGAACTGCCCTATAGGGTTTCCAAGGAGTAGCTGGTAGATTCGAACTGCTGACCTTTTGGTTGGCAGCTGAGCTCTTAACCACTGCACCACCAGGGCTAGATACCAGAGATTCAAACATCAGAGATGAGCCACTTACTGGGGAGATGCTAAAACAAGCCTGGAACACAATTCTAAAACAAAACAATGATTGTTAACTTAAAGTACATGCAAGCTGCAAAGGACACGTCCAAAAATTGTGACATTTTTTGAGAGTCACAAAAGACCATGCAAAAAGTTGGTATTTTAGCTGATCATCAAAGAGTGGATAGATGTTTTCTTAAGGTAAGATAGTAGGGCCATTCTAGAAAAGCAAAGTCATAGAGGAAGAATGCATGAAATGTTTAGGGAATTAAAAGCTGTTCAAAAAACCCTTTGCCCTCAAGTTGATTCTTGAACTGCCCATAGAGTTTCCAAGGAGCGCCTGGTGGATTCAAACTGCCGACCTTTTGGTTAGCAGCTGTAGCTCTTAACAACTATGCCACCAGGGTTTCCAAAAGCTGTTCAGCACGGTTGAAACAAAAATATGGAAGAGAGCACTGGCAGAAGAAAATAAAGTTAAAGAACGTAGGGGTGGGAAAACTGAATGCTATGCTAAGGAATTTAGATTTATTTTCCGTAAGTAATTGGAGTCACTGAAGAATTTAGAGCAAAGGAATCCTGTGATCAGATTTGCGTGATTGACCCTGAGTACCAAGAGTGAAGGACGAAATGAAGTTTACCAAGCAGAGACAGAGGCCTTAGCAAAGAATATCAGTAAAAGATCTTGAAGTGCTAAATTGTGTTAATCAGGCCAAGGTGTTGTGGAAATAGAATGAATGGAATATGATAACTGAATGTGGGAGGTAAGGAAAGAGGGAGGTTAGTAAAGAATTGACTATGGTAGCCATTACCATTTCCTGAGCATATTTAAGAGGATGAGCTGCGGATTTGGATGGATGGGTCTTTTTTGTTTATTTCTTTGTTTTCTGAGGATGTTTGTACGAGAACAAGTCTTGCTTGGTCTTATTGAACTTCAAATGTCTATTTTCCTCCAGTTGTCCATGGCCAGTTGGCAGTTGTATGTATGGATCCAGATCTCAGGAATTGTGTCAGAGAAGGAGATACAGAACTGGATGCCAGTAGTCCATGGAAAATTGGAGAAGGTAAGGGATTGGAAAGAGGAGCATGTGGAGTCAAAACCAGGACGGGGAGAGAAACCTGGGCAACAAGAACATTTAAGAAGTGTAAGTCTGGAGACTATTGTTTTGCTAGTTTTCAACATTTAAGAGGTGTTAAGTCTACAGAATCTATTATCTTGCCTTTTTTTTTTTTTTTTTCTTGAGTAAGAGGGGTTGGAGGAGGTGGGGCGTAGATAACAACAAATGCCAGAAGGAAGTCTGGGAGAAATTTGTCATAGAAAACAAAGGGAGAAGCATCAAGTGGCAAGGAAGAAGAGAGTGGTCTTTATCGAATGCAGCAGATTACAGAGCATGAAGAATTCATTACAGGAAGGAAAACAGGGAGTAGGGAAGTGAGTCTGAAAGGAAAGAAATGACAAAGGACTAACTGGAGAGAGGGATCAGGGTGACATGTTGTGTGTGTGTGTTTTGTTTTTGTTTTTGTTTTTTTTAATATGAAAGTGACCATTGAATGTTTAGGCATCAACTCAAAACTAAATGTTTGAGACAGAGGATTGTCACAGATACGATGATAAAGTCAAATAGTAGGGTAAGTGCTGTGTGCCCCCACAAAAGCAGGAAGACAAATTGTGTCAAAAGGGGAGATCGCTTTTCCTCTGAGCATATTGGAAGAAAATGAGATGGGGTTTGGGATAGTTCTTAAACTTATAGAAGGGAAGGATGGAGCCGGGGGTGAGAAGTGTAAACCTGCAGAGCATACAGTTCCTTATAGCCTCTGTTTCCTCTGCAATGGTAATCTCCGGACGACTGCGAAGGGGTTAGGAGGCCTGGAGTGACCCAGATTCAGAAGAGTCACTGACACGAATGAGAGAGCTGACCAGGTACACGTTACAGCATTTCTGCGCCACAGAAGCCACCTAGTCTAGTCTACTGTGGGTCCTGAACCAGAAGCATCAGCATCAACTAGGAACTGACTTGACATGCAAATTCTCAGGCCCCACTAGCGACTTACTTAATCAGAAATTCCGTGGGTTGGACCCAACCACCTGTGCTTTAACAAGGCTTCTAACTGATTCTGATGCACTAAAATTTGAAAGCCACTGGCTTCAGACTTACATGTTCCCCTACTGGCAGTAGAAAACAACTGTTCCCCCCCTTACTTGTCAGAGCGCATGCTCTAAAGTGTATTGTTTCAGGTTCTTTCAAAATCTTTGAAAGAACAATCTTTGTATGGATTTCCTGAAGGGTTTGCAGAGCACCTACTTCCCAAGTTCTTATAAAATTCATCTCTGAATCACAGCACTCCAGGGAGAGTGTTCACATTTATCACGTCATCTTCCCTACTCCTTGAACTGCTTTTACTAATTATATTCCTTGGTGTCATGCTATCAGCTTACCCTTATAAGACTGATACATAAAAATTAATAGCTGACTGTAAGGATGGGTTTTAAGATGTTCATTATATACTAAAAAGTCTTTATTTAAGGTCTAAGAGCTGGGTTTCTCATCTCAGTGTCAGAAATGAACTGGTTTTGTATTTTGCTTGTTTATCTTGTTCTGCTTTTACTCTGTAGACTGAAAAAGGAAAAAACATACGTGAGAGAGGGCTGTTTCCCGCTTGTCTTCTACCTTTGCTCACTTCTCTTTTACTTCTCTCTACCTTTTTTACCCTGTGAACCTTGACTCACTGACAAATGGTAAGGCTTGAGAAAGCAATACTGTTCTGCTGGATCTCAGGATTGCACTAATCAAACGGAGCAAGGAGCACAAAAACAGGACAGACCTCCAATCACTAGTTTTGGTTAATGTTGAATACTGCTGCCTAAATCGAAAGGCAAGGTCACCTCCACAGTTTTCCTCATGCTGTAAAAATGCCACGATCCTTCCTCAGTTGGGAGCCATGTGGTCTTCAGACGCTCCATGATGCACATCAGCTGAATAACGTCTTTAACCACTACCGGAGTCACTTAAATCACCTTCTTTTGACAAATCAACATGGCATTTGTAGCTGATTAGGTTTTTCTCTGATGTCAGTTGAAATAAAGACAAGGAGGAGAAAATCAGAAAGCCAAAATTGCATACTACACTTTCTAACATTTTGTACCTCAGTCTGAGTCTTTGTGCCTCACTAACTTACAAGCTTATTTTCTCTTTGCCTAATCCTCATTACTGATATTTGGTTAAGTTTAGCTGGCTGTATTGCATGTATCTTAAGAGCTTGGCTGCTAACCAAAAGGTCGGCAGTTCGAATCCACTAGCCGCTCCTTGGAAACCCTCTGGAGCAGTTCTACTCTATCCTATAGGGTAGCTATGAGTCGGAATCAACTAGACAGCAATGGGTTATAGGATTGCATATAATTTAATAGGGTTCACAGACTATTTAGAATTGAATGAGGCCTAGAGAAAGATAGAGAGGGTGAAAAGAGAAAAAGATTCATTTGTTACCTATTCATCTTTCCTCAATTCTATCGATTTGTTTAATTTTATTATTTTGATTAAGCAGAATTTGAATTTGCTGTATATGCCTTTTAGAATCATCACCACAGGTAACTAGGGAACCGAAACTTCATCAGAAGAGTTTGTTATACGTAATACTATTGTGTTTTCCTCTTAGAGTCAATAGTATCGGATGCCTTCTGTGTTTGACCACTGTTGGTGTTGCTGTGACCAGCAACTACCAACTTGGTCTTGTAGCATCCAGTGGCATATGCTTCTGATTTGTCATTTAAAACCTCTGCTTCACATCACTGTTTCTGCTTCTGAATATATTCTGATCCCAATGAAAAACAGTTAGTACTTGATATGCTCATATCTTACTTTAATTTGATCTACATTGTTCCAATATGAAAGCTGGGGGGAAGAAAATGTTTACCAAATAAAGAAACAAAACAAAAACTGAATTCACATTCTCCATGATATTATTTGCCAAACGGTATGTCGAAGAACATATGTCTGTATCTAGGGTTATCTCTCTAACTATCTATCCATGTATCTATCCTTATTTAATATCTAATATTTATAGTAATCACTACATTGCATATAAATATACATATTTACGTAAAATATTGCTTATATCAAAAACATACAATCAGTTACACCTTTTTTTTTAATGATATGATGAACTTACTGAAACTTCCACAACAAAAACCACCGCCATGAATGTAAATTACAGCTCGCCTTGGGGTTTCTGACTTCCGCTTAGGCAAGTACAAGCGTACTGGAACGTCAATAAATGTGTTATCAGTCACTGTGATGTATTCATCTGAAACTGGTTGAGTATAATCCAGCATGAATACCATGGAAAGAAATTCTTCAAATCTCATAATGCCTATCTTTTCAAGAAACAAAGCCTGTAGGCAAAACAAAACAAAAAATTAAACATCTCGATCTTTAAATAGCATCAAATTCATATAAACAGAAAATAAAAAAAGGAAAGAAGAAAACACAGCAAGTAAATTAAAAGAAATAGACTATTTTATAAAAATTATTTCCAAGTAGTACTGTATAGATCTATTGCATAACCTGGTTGCCTTTGAAAATCTCGGGTATTCAGTATTTTAGATGAAGAGTCAATCTCATTCAAAAGGCATCAATTTGCTGGCAGTTTCTTTTATTCCTGTTCTAATTATTTCTTAATTCTAAAGTCTTATCTGAAAAATTTCAGGTCTTATAACTGCTCTTCTGTTTTTGTAGACATGTTGCTATAGTTCCCTTTTTAATTTTCTTTTCTTTTTTTTGAATAAACAATTTTTTTCTTTTTTCATTGTGATTTAGGTGAAAGTTTACAGACCAAATTAATTTCTCATTAAACAATTGATACGCAAATTGTTTTGTGACATTGGTTGCCAACTCCACAATGTGTCAACACTCCCCTTCTCCACCCCAGCTTCCTTGTTTCCATTCATTCTGTCAAATTCCCACTCATAGCAACCCTACAGGACAGAGTAGAATTGCCCCAAAGGGTTTTCTAGGGATGGCTGGTGGATTTGGACTGCCAACCTTTTGGTTAGCAGCGGAGCTCTTAACCAGGATTTTCAAAGCAAGTAAAAGAGTGCCTGGCACCGGTATATATTCAATAAATCTTGTCCTATCCACTAATGAGAATTCTTAAGAATGTCATGCTAATTGAATGTAATCAAGTAGAATATTCCTTAAAGCACGTTTTGGGAAATAAGCAAATGTAGCTAATTTGTCATTTGGTGAATTGGTTTTTAAGAATTAAACTTTTTTTGCAAATTGCCTTGTCTCTCACATTTTCTGCTTTGGAATAGATACTTAAGTATTTTTGAACAATAATGAAAGCTACCCCTTTAGAGATTATCTTGTGCTGTTGGGGTTAGTATACATGATTTTTAATTTTCAGAGTAACTCTGAAAGATATTTATTATTAGTATCCCCACAGGTCAAAAAATGTACAATAAAAGGTTAAGGAAATTGTCAAGTGTTGGACTGTTGCCAAAACCATATGCAGTCTTCTACCAAACTCTGCCTCCCAATTTGACATGGTGAAGAATTTATTTTTCAAGACCATTTTGTCAAGAATCTTACTCTTTACTTCCCTTTCATATGTTAAAAAAATGTGATTATTCTTTCTGGAATCAGAACTCTTAGTTACAAAATTCAGCCATGACAAGAACAGGAAAACCAAATTGTTTCCCTTGAACAACCAGAGACTGTTAAATTTACTGGAATAATCTTTAAAGCAATTACATACGTGCTTTTCTATTATTTTTTAAAGGGCAATCCATATTCAATATAAAATACATAAAGTGCATAATTTTAGTATAGCTAGACAATGGCAAAAATAAATTGTAGTTGAGAATGCAAAAGTAGAATTTTAGAGTTGGATGTTCTGAGACTATTCTAATCTTGATGATGACATCAACACAAGGCTCTCTGAATCTGAAATGCATGTGGGATGATCAAGGTCCTCTGAGCAGCCTGACTTGCTTACCCACATATTCTTTCATCTTACTTTAAATCAAGTAGTAAGAGCATTGGAGAAAGGGACAGTTAGGAAGAAGATAATTAGAGAGACAACCATAGATACTTCAAGATACTCCTAAACTAGAAGAGATAAGTGATTAGAGGGACAAATGTAAGGACTTAGCAGACACTGGCGGGAACTGTCTGTAGTTTTACAGAACCGATATTACAGTGAGAAGCACCACGGGACAGCCTCTCCCTCTTACGGTTGCTCTCCTATCTGATCATCGACTGCTGTTGCTGCCTTCTCATTCAGCCTCCAATTGTCACTGTCACAGATGGTCGTGGGTTTGTTTATTTGTTTTTGGTTATTATCACTATCATCATAGAACATTTCTGGGAGCAACCTGGTTTGGCAGAAAGAGCATGGGATTTGAAATGAGGCTGTCCTGGGTTCAGATTCTGAAATTGTCACTTTTTAACTGCATGAGATCTTCAGAACCTCTTTCACCTCCTCTCTAAACTGGTTAAAATAATTGCAAGGATAGGAAGGCATGAGTGGAGGTATATACTATACAAAGCCTGTACCGTACATTCTAAGAACTCAAAAAGTTGACTTCTCACCTTTTCTCCCATTTACAAAGGAATTATGTTTGCAGGAACTCATAAACCCCCTTGCATGTCCTAAATCAGATAATCCCTGAAATCCAGCAATTTAGAATTGAAGATGAACAAACAGAAGCCACAGAAAGAACAAGCTCCTTAAACATCAAACAGGTACAAACCTGTCTAGACACAAACTCTCTGCAGGCAAGTATTCTGTCTCACTCTGCTTTTCACAGATGCAGTGTTTTATTTACTTAATGTCATTTAGTTAATTTATCCTAACAAACAAACAATGATTCTTTCAAAATTGAAGTAATACAGTGCACAAGTACTCGTACTTAGACAACAAGACATCCCAATCTCCAGGAGAAAAAAATGTTCATCTTACCGTAAATACACAAGTTTTAGCAGTTGCATCCAAGGCCATTACTTTCCAGCTTTCTTCGACGTTGTCTGGGACGGGTGTATAAATATGAGAGGCAAAGAGAATACAAAACAATCCAAAACAGAGTGCTTTAAATCCCACCATCTCCCTCTTCCAGCCTCTTCAGAGCATTGACATTAATAAAAAGTAGATTGAGAACACTCTCAGGTGATGTGATTATCTTAGCAACATGAAACTAATTTCCAATTCAAAAATTTCAGCGTCAGTAGTAACTTGTTTTGAAATACAGATTCTCTGAATGAGATGTCATAATTCATCAGGTTACACATGCCTTATTATTACAGGCTTAAAAACTCCTATGGTCTTTCTTCACCCTATAATATCACAACCAAACCCATAAGAACTAAACTATTGAGATCTAAATAAGAGCTTGAATGAGGACTTTTTTTTTATGATAAATGAGTAAGCCATGAAGTAAAATTTCATGATTAGTTGGTTGCATGTTTTGTAAGAAGAGCTTGAATAAAAAAAAAGGTTTAGCTAATATTGAATATACAATGGACTGTCAAAAGAATAAACACATCTGTCTTGGAGGAAGTGAGACCAGAATTCTCCTTAGCGGCAAGTATGGTGAGACTACATCTCACACACTTTGGACATGTTAGCAGGAGGGACTAGTCCCTGGAGAAGGACATCATGCTCGGTAAAGTGGAGGGTCAGTGAAAAAGAGGAAGACCTTCAATGAGATAGATTGACACCATGGCTGCAAAAATGGGCTCAAGCACAACAATGATTGTGAGGATGGCACAGGACCAGGCAGTATTTCAGTCTGTTGTACATAGGGTTGCTGTGAGTCAAAATCGACTCAATGGCACCTAACAACAACAATCAACAATATTTAGTCAAATTCCAGGCTGATGCCAGTAAACCTGTTGAAATCAAAACCCCACTGCAGTTGAGTTGATTCTGACTCATAGCAACCCTAGAGGGCAGAGTAGAATTGCCTCATAGGATTTCCAAGGCTGTAAATTTTTTACAGAAGCAGACTGCCACATCTTTCTCCCATGGAGCTGCTGACTGTAACTATGGGCTCAAACACAACAATGATTGTGAGGATGGTGCAGGACTGGGCAGTGTTTCATTCTATTCTACACGGGATTGCTACGAGTTGGAAGTGACTCGATGGCACCTAACAACAATAACAACAGCAATGCAAAGGTGGAGATAGTAATCAAAATTATTTAGGCAATACAGTCAAAATCATACATATTTCAAGAAGTTTAGAGAAGGTGTCCGGAATATCTCAAAAGCTAGATGTCCTGTGGGTGACACTGGTTTTCCCCTATTTGGAAAGATGGGTAGAGGTATATGAAGTAATGACTGAATGACTTTAATCAGATCATAGCAGTTTGCGTGACACACAGTCAGCACTTAAGAAACATTAGCTATTGTTGTTGCTGAGATTGTTACTATCGCAGTCTCTTAACGATATGTGCTAGAAATGTCACTTTTTGTTTTTGTTTTTTTTCCAGTCAAAATAAATCAATCTCTAGCCTGAACCTGCCAATTTTTGCTTTAAATATTTTGAGGTGATATTAGTAGTTGTATAAAAATCTAGAATTGTTAGTTTATCCTAGTGAATGGAATTCTATCATTACAAATTTTCCCACATTTTATCTAATGAAAAACATTCTTTTATTTCTCTGGTATTAATATAGCTTTCTTTCCTTAGTGACTAGTTAGTTTTTCAACTTTTTTATGTTGTTATATGTGTAGTTTTTTTTTTAACAATATCAGGTTTAACTATTTTACATTTATTCTGATCTTATTTAATTTTATTGGATCATTTAGGTTTTTCTAAATTTAATATAATTATATATTTGAATTCAAAGTGTTCATTTTACTATGAGTTTTATATATATCTCACTTGTTCTATCTTCTTTCATCCTTTCTAATTCTGTCTTCTTTTTGGTTATTTTTAATATTCCCCTTTCTTGTCATTTATTTGCTAGTTATACACACGCAGTTTATCTGTTGGTTGTATTACAAATTACACTGGAGAGTGGCTGATGGGTTCGAACTGGCAACCTTTTGGTTAGCAGCCAAGTGCTTTAACCATTGTGCAACCAGAGCTAAATAAAACGTAAATATTGTTTATATACAATATGATATCAATTTTCATCAGTACTAGGAGAAGGTGGAGCTGTCGGTGTCAGTTGGTCCAAGTGTCTGGGCCTGAGGCATCCTTGCAATCCCTCGCCCTCCTGGCCCCTCAAACTACAGACCATTCATCAAGAATTTTGTGTCCAATGCCCAAAAGTTTGTTACCCGAGGATGAATGCTGACATGGATGCAGTTGATGCTGAAAATCAGGTGGAATTGGAGACAAAAACATGACTTATTAATCAAGTGTTTGTTAGAACTCCAACACACACTTGAGGATCTCTCTGCAAGAGGTGATGCAGTCAAAGAAGCAAATGTGAAGCTAAAGTCAGAAAACCAAGTTCTTGGACAGTATATAGAAAGCCTCATGTCAGCTTCTAGTGTTTTTCAAACAACTGGCACAAAAGCAAAAGAAAATAAGAGGTTGATATCCTCTGTGTTTTATGGAATTGCTGGGGTTTTTTTTCTTTAAAACTTGGATAGATTCCAAAAGTTACAGTACTGTTATTTGTGGCTTCATTGACTATCTGTGAAGATAATGGCAGATCTAGAGCACTAAGAGCATAACAGGAGACTTCTCTGGGTTTGTGTATTATGTTAGTCTATGAAAATGTACAAATGTAGAGACTTTATACTTAGAATTGCATATATTTATGAAAACTTGAAAATGAAAGTTTTATCAAATTTGCTTTTATTTTTAGTTGTAGCAGTGTCTTTTATTATAGGCTCAGTAGAAGATGATACAAGAAAATAACTACCATGTTGTGAAAAAGTGACCAAAATCATGTGTTGAATGCACAGCTTTATATGTATCCTGTCCGCCATCTTGTGTCTCTTTTCCATTTGCCTCTCCCTTCCCATTTCCCTTCCTCTTAGGAAGAAAAAAGTTGGTCCCACATTTGTAAAAGTAATTTTAATAGCTAATTATTCATGAGAGTAAACTGAACTCATTGTTGAAACTTTATCAAAATAATTTTCTCAGCTAAGGCCTGTCATTTGTTATATTTAGTAATAAGATAGGACTGTTGGTTTTCTTTTAATAAATTGAAAACAAAGACTGTAAAAATGAAGATTGTTCCTTGAAACTATGAATTTTCAAATTGGGAAACTCTGTTGTTCAGTACTTCCTTCTGCACAAAATAATCAACTTGGTATCTGAAAAAAAATGGGCTCTGATTGTGCATGTTTAAAATTGAAAATCTTGGGGAAAACAGAAATAGGATGGGAGAAATACTTGGTAAGTAGTAGTAACCAACTCCAAATGTTTTTGTTCCAAATTTGTGTTGACATCTTCACAGATCAGGTCTCTTGGGTTAACATACACGAAAGCGGATTAAGTCTGACTATCTTAATATGAACCACATTTAGAAGAGTACAGTTACAAAGAGTTTGGTCTCTTAAGGTTTATTTATAGCACCCAGAAGATCATTTTTTGCAAAAACCCTTAAGAGTTCGTTAGCATCTGATTCATGAAGAAAATGGGAGAGTTTTTCATGTGTACTAACTGATAATCTTCCTCAGTATTTCATCTCATCGCTTCTCTCAGAATTTTCTATAAGTCCAACTATTTGCAGAGTTTTGGGCATCTTTTTACTAAACAGTTTTTTTAAAAATCAGTTGTAGGTTCCATTTTAAAAGGGAATCTGTCAGAAGTAATGTTAAAATGTTAAGTATAATAGGAAGAGAGATCCACTAATATTGTTTATGGTTATTAGATTTGGACTACTTTTAATCATGGAATAATTTTATGATTGTATGGATGTAAGTATGATTTGTGAAACGACTTTAGCTGTATGAATACATGACAGTCATACTGCAAACATTCCGCATCCCTCTTGTGACCTAATTTACAAACATTTAAAAATTGTGTTGCAATTCTGCTTTGCTGTTTAATAAAAAATCGTTTCAGAGAAAAACAAAACAAAATATTCATCAGTACTTACCCACCTCTTCTTTTCCTTAAAAACACATGCAAAAATTGCTACTTTTTTATTTTATTCCATTAAAATAAACTTCTCTTTAGTATTTCTGGTAAGTGTTCTAACAGTTTTCTTACATGTCACTGAAGAGTTCGTGAAAAGGGTAACCAGAAACACCGTGTGGGCAATAGAATGCTACACACAATTTATCGAGGGTACCGATGCCCAAGAGTCCAAGTTACTGACCAAAGTTAGGCAGCTAGTAAGTGCAAAGTAAGGTCTAAACACATTTTTCCTAGGCCACATATTTAGAAATACGTGCACAGACACACACGCATATCCATATATCCGTACATCAAGCATTTGTAAAGCATACAGCAACATCTAATCCCTAAAATTGGGGTTTGAGGCTTGGAAATAGGCTAGGTCTGAGAGATGAAATAAAGTTCCATATAACAGACACTTGTTCTTAAAAGCTAGGCAAACATAAGTATATATCTGAGAAAGGTTTAATAATAATGGTTTAATATATGGAATACATAAACAACTTCTACAAATCAACAACAAAAAGACAATTCCATTTTTAAAAAGGCAAAGTACTTAAATAGACATTTCTCCAAAGAAGTTATACAAATCTTCAATAAGTACATGAAAAGATACTATTATTAGTCATCAACCCCTAGCCATCAAGTCAATTCCAACTCATATGGACACAATAAGACAGCGGAGAGCTGCTCCGTAGGGTTTCCAAGGCTGTAATCTTTGCAGAAGCTGACTGCTACATCTTTCTCCCACTGTCATGATTCATTAGAAATATACAAATCAAAACCACAATGAGATATCACTTCAAACTCACCATTATGGCTAATAACAGAAAAATGGAAAATGGCATGTATTGCTGAGGATGTGGAGAAATTTTATAACCCTTATCCATTCATCCATTGCTGATGGGAATGTAAAATAGTGCAGCTGTTGTAGAAAACAATTTAGCAGTTCCTCAAAAAGTTAAACACAGAACTATCATAGGACTCTGCAAGTCAAAAAGAATTGAAATCTGAAATT